AAGGGGTAGAGGAGGGAGGCTCCTTTTCATTATAGACCTATGAATTAAATTTTGAATGGTGTGCATATATCACTTTTGATAGCTTTTAATATAAAAATTGTTAAACCAATCTTCATACAAACTATGGAAGGCAAGAGGGCTCTGACAATGAGGATGATGTTAATACCTGGAAGAGAAGGAATCAAAACGTTTCTGCATAGAAATTTGTACATCTGAAGCTTATCTGCATAATTTCTCCCTCTCTGTCAACAAAGCAAATAGCACACAATGAGTTATTTTTCTCATATAATAACTTAAGGTGCTTAGAACCATGACCAGAAAAGACAGGTGTAGTATTGCTCAACAGCCACTTTTATTATAGTATACAGTTCATTTGACAAGACACAAAAAACTCTCTTGTAGGTTCTCCATACTAACGGAAGAAAAATTGTTCAGATAGTTGGAAACTGTCCTAATCATTGGAGTTGACTCAATAATATTACTAACTTAATTTCAACCATTTATATGAAGCAGCTCTTAAGTAAAGGAGCAAAACATGCTGGTTAATTTGTGAAAGCAATGATTATCTTCAAACAATTCAACTGAGGGGACTTTTCTTCTCATTTATACAAGTCAGTGAATACCGAACAATGTCCCATTAGGTGAGATGGAATGTTAGGCAGACCTACAAATATGCAATCAAAGATGCAGTTAAATATCTGAAGAAGCTTCAAAACTCATACCCAAGCATCACAGGGTTAAAAAAAGTTACTTCCTCCCAGACTCAAACAAGTACATACTATCACACTGGTCTTCAAGTCGCCCCTGCCCCCCCATAAAAAAAAAGAAAGAAAAGAAAAATATTACAAATAATAATAGTGTATTTCCCAAGAGAGAAGAGCTTTCAAAAAGCTGTAAATGCCACCCTAAATCAGTAAGGGGGTGTTTTTCCTAAAGCCCCAGGAACAAGAGGATGGAGAGGGAAACCAAGAAGCAACAATTGGAACCAAAACAACTAACACTGAAAGAGTTCACTGAGAAATAAAAAATAGGTTAATTTCATTAAAAAACAAAGATTACTTTATTTATTATGGTCAATATGGCAGTAGGCTGCGGGGGTGGATCAGAGAAAAGGAAAGAGGGATAGCCGCATGGCTGAACAACATATAGCACAACAAAAAAATGGACTAGAGAAAGGGAAAACTGGGATGGGAAAGGAGCCTAAATGGGTTCCAACACTGATAAAAAAGTACCCTAGTTGCTTTCCTTCCTTACTAGAGGCTACGGGCTTCAAAACAGCATTGCTGCCTAAAATCTCACATATTTAAATGCAAAACAGCTAATTCCTCTTCATAGCCTTAAACCTGTAACCTCTCTTTGTGAAAGTGTGGCATATAAGCACCTACATCATAATCATTTAGGGTACACAGGAAAAAATGCTGATTGTTTAAGCAAATCCTAGGCCTAATGAATCAGAATTTCTGAGTTAAAGCTGGGTGATTCTTTGTTACACTAAAGGTTGACAATTACAGCTTTAAAGGTAATACTATCAGATAGTATTACCTACAACACGCAGACACCAGTCAGAGATTAAGCTGAGGGCCAAGTGCTTTTTAAAGATGTGCCATCTTTAACTTCAGCAAGATGGCCAACTGAATTTGTCACATAAGATGGCAAAAAAGAGTAGCCAAAGGTTTATTACAGCAAATAATACCTCTCTACTCATATGTGCTTGGTACTTTGTCAAAGGTTGAAAAAGGCAGAAAAAACAGAATAAAACCTCTCTCCTCTCAAACAGCATATATTCTTATTCTTACTGAAGACGCTCTTCTTAACATAGTAAATGCTATTCGACCTTCAACATTCATCATTCCTTCAAGATAAACTCTCCTGAGTATTCTTTCAGTCATCTTTTATCTCTAGGCCATCTGAACCTGAATTTACCTAGTCAGTGGTTGGTCCCATTCTTTACTTCACTTGTTAACAAGCCCTGTTTTCCCAACAAGAATTTAAGTTTATGAGGATAAAGTCCATGTTCCTAGCCTTTTGTGCCTTTTGTTGTTTAGAACAATGATGGCCACACTGTGGACGATTTCACACTGAATTGAGTTAGGGCACTCAGACATTTAGGAGATTCAGCAGTTATGCATAAACTATTAAAAATCCAAATTTCAAACCTAGAGATTTTCCAACCACCCCAATAAAACATACCAAAAAGTTAACAGACAAAAGAGTTTGTAGATACCAAACAATTCTCTTATTTCAAAGGAGGAGGAGAAGATGTAACAAAGATAAAATGAGATTAACTACCTTATAATAAGGTCAAATTTAAGATAAGTGTAATGTGAAAGCTTAGACACCTCTGGATTTTGTAAATTCACACGCAGAGTTTTACAAATACACATACTTTAGTACAACAAGGTATCACATTAAACAATATTTGCCCTCCTAAAAGAATATGAGGTAAGGACGGGCACGGTGGCCTTGTGCCTGTAATCATAGCACTTTGGGAGGCCGAGGCGAGTGGATCACCCAAGGTCGGGAGTTCAGGACCAGCCTAACCAAAACGGAGGAACCCTGTCTCTACTAAAAATACAAAAGTGGCCGGGCGTGGTGGCACATGCCCGTAATCCCAGCTACTTGGGAGGCTGAGGCAGGAGAATTGCTTGCACCTGGGAGGCAGAAGTTGCGATGAGCCGAGATTGTGCCACTGCACTCCAGCCGGGGCAACAAGAGTGAAACTCCGTCTCAAAAAAAAAAAAAAAAAAAAATGAGGTAAAACTAAAGCAGAAATAAAACTGTCTTTGTATCTAGAAGCTCAAATTAAATTCTCAACTCTTTATATTTCCGTCTAAAGCCATCTTAAAATAAGCAATGTCATGAACAAAAAAATTATAACAGTGAAAAACAAAAAGTTGTTGTAGAAATAAAATGAATGCATCATCTTTCTGATGAAAAAGAAAACTAACTACATTTTCAAAATCACTGGTTGATCCATTTGGTTGCAACTTATCACCAAGATTATCACCAAACATCTTAATTAAGGTTTTATTTACTCTTAAGGAAACACAGAGCATTTCAAACAAAGCATCACTTGTTGTGCACTGGCACGAGCAGTTCCAGACTGGGAAGCCATGAGGCACTGCATGACCTCCAGCAAATCACAGGACCTCTGTGGGCCACTGTTTCTTCATCTACAAAAGTGAGGCAGTTGGACAATCTTCGGTCACTTACAGCACTGAAGTTCTATAAATCAGTAATTCTAAATTTCATTCTGATGGCTCAGTTCAAACTTACATTCAACCTTATGGAAGGAAAAACGTGGAGAGGGAACTACTGAATAAATTTTTCTGGTCTTTTCTTGGTTCTCTTTTTTTTCCCCCTTCTCCCTTCTCCTTGAAGCTCCACTTCAGTCCTTATCACATAAGAAAATATATAAACAATATCTATTTTACTTAAACTGTACCAGCTTCTTAAATTTAAGAAACCAATTTCCTCTACTTCTCTTTAATAAATAAGATCTTAATTATGCCGCTTATTTGTGTGCCTCTTGATTTTTCTCTTATGGATCACCACCTTAAAAAAAAATTTAAAAAAAAAATAGAAAAGTCTTCATTAGATTTTTCACACAGACCAGACTAGAGGTAAATACAGCTTTTGCTTACTCAAAGGCTGACTAAACCAGCAATATACAAAGATGATAGCAAATGGCTCAGATGAATTGGTAAAATGTCCGCTGTGTCTTTCTTGTAAGACCGCAAAATTGAGATGTTAATATCAACAATCCTTACAAAAGAGTAAGAAATAATAACTGATTGCCTTTCTGTCTTCCCTGTAATCTGACAGGCCTTCAAGCACTTAGAAAGTGCATAGCAAATTCTCAAAGAACTAGCTAAGTATCATTTTGGTCAACAAGAAATGATTTGGCAAGTTTTATATCCAAAAACTCTATTTTTTGGAATCACTGCATATTCCAATTTTTATCTTCATAAATATGTTTCAGAAATGAAATACTACTGCACTCAGCCTTACAGAGCACCTAGGACTTTAAGGCACAGCAGGATGTATACTCACCAGCCAAAATCTCGTAACTACAATGACAAGTACTTCAGGAAAAGACTGAGCAATCTTTTCATTTACAGAAGGTTTTTTATTCAAAGCAAGCAAATTTTAAGTACAGTAACACAGAAGGAAGGCCAATACGCATCACTTTTTCTTTTTACACAAAATTGAAATAACCACGTTTCCTCAGAAGACAGCTTTACCTCTAAGGTTGTTACTCAGAACAAGTTTCCAGTGTGAATTATAAAACTTCATTTTTTTCCTAATAGTAAATGAATCCTGCTCGTCTTTCTTCCTCTTTATTTAATATTCACTTTTGTTATCTAAATAATCTAATATTCATTTTTACTTATTATCTAAATACTCATTCACTTTACTTAAACTTCTATTGGGTTTCCAAAATGAAATGTGTAATAAAATTTCATTAACTTTAAAAACAGAGAGAGAGGAAAAAAAAAAAAACCGTAACAGTCAATGAGCAACACCTTATGACTGAGTTGTCCCAAAACTTCACCCTTAGCTAAAATGCCAAAACAAAGCCACTGCCCCTGGATTGTTAACATCCATATCACACAGGAGTAATACGGTTTACTTAATTATAACTTCAACTACCCCCAAAAAATACAATTAGATTCTTTAAATTAAAATTTGACCTTAGTTTGCTTTGTGGTACTTAAACACAAACAAACAAACAAAAAACCTCTTTTATTCTTAAATTACATAGAAAAAAAAATCACAAAGACATATAAAATGCTTTAACAAGAAGATCTAAAACCTTCCAGAATTTCAGTGCTTTGTTTCCTCCTAGCAATTAAGTTCAATCAGGCATGTGACTGACCACACACATTTTATCAGAGTTAAAGAACACATTCAGCCATGTTCTTCCACAGGTAAGAACCACCCTGTTTATCAGCTCAAGAAACAGCCAGAAGCAAACATACAAAATCGTAACAAGTTACCTTCAAGTATTCTTTCTCTATCGTCTTTTGGGCTTGAAAATAAAAAGCAATCCGACAAGTTTTAGCTGTTAAAATGGCTCCTGTAGATTGGGGAAGTGGTGTCTGTGCTTCAGCTTATGAGTCATACATGAAACCAAGTGTTTCTAAGGGAGGCACGCCCATGTTGCTGTGGACCCAATTATTCTGCTAGGTCAAACATGCAAATCTGCAGGTAAAAACGGTATAGGAAAGTGGGGAAGAAGAGGCAAGGTGCAAGATCTACCTTGATTAGACCATTACTAAGCTCATATTAATTGCCATAATTTAAAACTAACAATAAGAGAGTAAGAATCTACAAGAGAGCAAAATTTAAAACTATATATTGTTTTAAAATATAAAAATCTCAATTTTTAAAAGTTACTTTACTGTACCAAATAAAACTGTGAAATGAATAAAGTGTGAAAGGGCATGGAAGGGAGATAGCAAACTCGGTGGCTCCTAATGTAACAATGGACTGGTGAGTATAATCTGGCTACTCATTAACCCTTTTATGAAAGAGCTATATTGCTGCGTAGTCTGGAAAGGCTAGCAAACTACAAAGGCACATGCAGATCTATAAGTTCACTAAACAGATAAAATCCACTAGAAAATTCAAAGTTCAGTGGAAAAATAAGTGTGAATTAAACTGGTTTACAGACTTTTTAAAAACCCACACCCCAATGTTAGAAAGTAATTTAGAGTCCAACAAAGCAAAATGATTTTAAATAAACTGCAAGCTCGATAAAACCCTTTTTAAAAATTATCGGTATGATCATAGTTCATAACTCTGCTACTTCCAAATGATAGCCACAGTTTGATTTACCTTTCAAGCAAAACGTTCTATGTGTATTTCAAGCCTCTTGTGCCAGGCATCCTGCTACAGCTCCGCTGCACTTGTGGCAAGGCCAGCCTAAGGGGACAACTGTGGCCAGCGAAGCTCTGCCTTCCAAGTCAGAATACATCTGACAAAGTGCCCAAAGCACTGAAATATTACTACACTTACTTATCCTGGCCTCTGGGTGAATATACTTATTAATTTATTCTAAGAGCTTAAATTAATCAAAATGGCTTGAAAGCACTAAGTACTTCCAAAGCGCTTGAAATGATAAATGCAGCTCAATAGACAGCCTTCATCCTGGTATCTTACAAAAAGTAAATAGGATTTAGCAAGGTTTGCTCCCTTTAGTTAATGAGTTGGGAGTTTATTCTGGCTTACCAGAGGCATAGATGAGAGCACAAGCTGTCACTGACTTAGGAACTTTACAAAATGCTGCAAAACTGCAACGATTGTGAACCGACTTTCTGCCTATTAAGTGCCTATTTATTTCTTACACTGAACGTTGCTTGGTTTATCTTTTTACTGAAAAATAATCTCCATGGTTTTACAAACTGTTAATTAAAAATTTGTTAAAAAGAAATATAGATCATGTTTTCTCCTGTCAAATGTCATATTTAGCTTACTTTAGCTCACTTACACAAAATGACTATTCAGAGCCCATGCACCAAGAAACAAGGTCCGCTGAGCAGTCACGGGAGATTCACTTGTTCACTGGAAAGTTCCCCCCAAGTAATTTTCCATATCTGAAATTTATTTTAGATAATATTAATGTAAACCTAACAATGTGATTATCTTCTTTTGGCTAATTAGAAATGAAAATTGTAACAGGTAAAAGAGGGGAACAGTATTATAAAAGATGTCAGAAAAAGTGAAAGAGCTGATAATGACATAAAAAAAACCCACCTTATAAAACTAAAAATAAATATAACTTTAAAAGTATTCCATATGAAGCCATTATATAAGGTCAATAAGTTGTAATATTCCCTAAGTATATTACCATACACTAAGTGTCTCCAAGTCAGCATTAGTGTAAGACAGGCCTTCGAAAGCCAAAGTGGGTAACATCAAGTGTGTGAGATGTTTTATGAAGAACAGATACCTAAAAGGATAAGCTTCTGCTATTGAGAAAATCCATTTATATAAAGCACCCCATTACTTAATAATGGCAAATATTCCAAACATAATTTAAAAGAAGTACTCTGGCCACCAGTAATGTGAAGAGAATTAAAGGAAAAATAATTATATACCTCTCCAACAGAAACAAATATCTTAGCTGTTCCTAAGGAGATGACTCCAGAGCTGCCATTACAAGATATTATCCCTTTGCCCAGGAGTGTCCCTATTAGCATTATTCTGTCACCTACAGGAACTGGATCCTTGTTCTATTCACAGCCCCAATAAGTCAATCTCTGCATATGAGAGAATCAAAGAAAAAAAAAAGGCAAACAGTTTGACACACGTTCTAGTCAATCTATTTGGGTTTGAATCCCAGCTCTGCTACCTATTAGCTATGTAATCTTGGGCAGTTACTTAACAATCCTGCATCATAACTTATTTATCTATTATTTAGCCTAATAGTATCTACCACACAGAGTATGAGGATTAAAATAAGTCCACATACTGCTATCCAGACTACATAAAGCACTTTCACAACTCAAAAACAAGAAAACAAACCAGTTTTTCTTTTTTTTTTTTTTTTTTTTTTGAGACGGAGTCTCATGCTGTTGCCCAGGCTGGAGTGCAGTGGCGCGATCTTGGCTCACTGCAAGCTCCGCCTCCCGGGTTCACGCCATTCTCCTGCCTCAGCCTCCTGAGTAGCTGGGACTACAGGCGCCCGCCACCGCGCCCGGCTAATTTTTTGTATTTTTTTAGTAGAGACGGGGTTTCACTGTGGTCTCGATCTCCTGACCTTGTGATCCGCCCGCCTCGGCCTCCCAAAGTGCTGGGATTACAGGCTTGAGCCACCGCGCCCGGCCAACAAACCAGTTTTTCAATAGTCAAATCTGAATAGACACGTCACTAAAGAAGTGACACAGATGGCAAAAAAGTACATGAAAATATTTTAACATCAATACTCAATAGGGAAATGCAAATTAATGTGACAATACCACAACAAAACAAAACAAAAACCACCAATAATACCAAGTATTGATGAGAACATGGAGCAACTACAACTCTCATATATTGCTGGTGGGAATGCAAAAGTTTAGCCACTCTGGAAGATAGTTTAGTGGTTTCTATAAACATACACTTACCACATGATCCAGTAATCCCCTTCCTCGGCATTTACCCAAGAGAAATGAAGATACATGTCTATTTTAAAACTTCTATGCAAATATATATAGCAGTTTTATCATTCACCAAATACTGAAAACTCAAATAATGTCCAGCAATGGGTGAATGGATAAATCCATGTAATGGAATGGTATAATATATCCATATAATGGAACGCTACTCAGCAACAAAAAAAGGTCTGAATTTCTGATATATGTGACAACATGGATGAACCTAAAAGCATTAGGCTGAACAAAATAAGACTGACTCTATGACTCTGTATGATTCCATTTATATGTGACATAATGGAAAAGGCAAAATAAAAGGCACAGAAATCCTATCAGTGCTAGGGGCTGGAAATGAGGGGAGGGGATTGACTACAAAGGAAGACAAGGAACTGTTATAGGGCGATGGAAACATTCTGTATCTTGATTGTGGTACTGGTATATGACTTATGTACATTGTCAAAATTCATACAGCTATAAAACTAAACAGGGCAAATTGTACTGCATATAAACCATACCTCAATAAAACTGACTTTAAAAAAAAGAAATCTAGGCCAGGCACGTTGGCTCATGCCTGTAATCCCAGCACTTTGGGAGGCCAAGGCAGGCGGATCACTGAAGTTCAGGAGTCCAAGGCCACACTGGCCAACATGGCAAAACCATCTCTACTAAAAATACAGGTATTAGCCAGGTGTGGTGGCAGATACCTGTAATCTCAGCTACTTGGGAGGCTGAGGCAGGAGAATTGCTTGAACCTGGGAGGCGGAGGTTGCAGTGAGCCAAGATTGCACCATTGCACTCCAGCCTTGGTGACTGAGCAAGACTGTGTCAAACCCCCATGTTCTGTAACAAATCTCCAAGTTCTGCACATGTACCCCAAAACAGAAAGAAAGAAAGAAAGAAAGAAAGAAAGAAAGAAAGAAAGAAAGAGAGAGAGACAGAGACAGAGAGAGAGAGAAAGAGAAAGAAAGAGAGAGAGAGAAAGAAAGAGAGAGAGAAAGAAAGAGAGAGAGAGAAAGAAAGAAAAGAAAAAGAAAAAGAAAAAAAGAAAAAGAAAAGGAAAGGAAAGGAAGACAAAGAAAAGAAATCTCGTTTAGGTATATGAAATGTACATACTGTGGATATGTTTATTTCTAAAATTAGATATGGATCAAGTCAGTATATATCTTACTATAAAGCTTTCATGGCTGCTCCTGGAATTGTCAACATGTATATTTGAACTATTAGCTAGAGAGATTGAGTCAACTGAATGAATTTAAATGCCAACTAAATTTCAGATACTATTTATTTCCTCCACTGAAACAGAATTTATAAAAAGAATTTATTGTGCTAGGGCTTATTTTTCCTTTTTATCGTTACCTCTTCTCTTTGAACTCAAATCTGAAAACTTCTAGTACAAAAATATAGAATACTCTAATTTCCATATCTAGGAAACTTGGGCTAAAAAAAGCTTTGTTTGAAACCATCCCATAGGTTGGAAGCTAACATGCTATCACTATCAGAGATGGAAAAAGAAAAGATCACACCATTAACATGGCAAATGATCAAAATCAACGTTTCCCACTATTTAAATAGAAAAATAAAATTTAAAAGACTGAGATTGTTACAAATCTTTCAATCAAGCAGAATTTATTTTGTTGATGTTAATGCCTCTCAAAAGTATAATTCCAGGTTCCAAGAATTGTGCAGAATTTCTACATGTGAGCTTAAACGTAAAACATAGTTAATTTTCTATGCTCTATCACTAGCTTTGTTAAACCAAATCCTCTTTCCCACTTCTGCACGGACAGGTAACTAGGTGGTACATTTTACTACCCTCCAAAAGTGGTCCTCTTAGACAACAGTCTATGTATTTTCAGGAGCTTATCAAAGGCAAAAGGGGCCATGGCTTTTGTCTACACTATATTCTCATCACCTAGGACAGGGCCCAAAACTCAGCAGAAACTCAGACATGAATGAGTGACTTTCCTAAAACTGCTCACTGAGGGGAAAAATGTAGTATATCAGGATTTTAGTAAACATTGAAATATCTTTAAAGACATGACTTGGCCCCTATGACTTGATATAGATCAATTCAAGGTTCTATTGCAGGTATTATTCTGGGTGTTACCGTTTCCTCTGATATTAAAAATAACCAAGAACTGATGGTATGATTATATTCTTTATAAAGCTCCCAGGTAATAGGCTGACTGC